CCTTCCTTCCTTCCTTCCTTCCTTCCTTCCTTCCTTCCTTCCTTCCTTCCTGGCTGTTCTTATTCTATGATACTGTAGAACTGGGGTAGCTCTGAACATCCTCTTGTTCCTAAGCTGTGTGTGTTTCAGGTGGGCTTCTTAGCTTTAGAAGGAGAGAGGGAAGGAGGAAGGGACAGAAAGAGAAAGAGAGAAAAAGGGAGAGAGGAAGGGAGGATAGAAAGGGGGGATACAGAGTGAGAGAGAGAGAGGGAAAGAGAGAGGGGAGAGAGAAAGAAAGTGAGAAAGAAAAAGAGAAGGAAGATACAAGAAAGAAAAGAAAGAAAAGGGAAAGAAAAAAAGGGAGAGAGAAGGGAAGTGAAAGGAAGAAAGGGGATGGAAGGAAGGGGTAGAGAGAAAGGGAAAGAAAGAAAAAAATGAAAGAAAGAAAGAAAGAAAGAAAGAAAGAAAGAAAGAAAGAAAGAAAGAAAGAAAGAAAGAAAGAAAGAAAGGAAAGTAAATGAGATATATGGATGGATAGAAAAATATATGGAAGGAGGGAGGGAGGGAGAAGAAAAGGAGAGGAAGGAAGGACATAAACCCTGACTTCAGAAGACTTTGAAGCAGCAAAGCAATCTACAGCTGGCCTGCAAGGGATTTTGGAGGTCATCTAGCCCAACCCGCTTCTCCAGCAAGAGATCCTTAAAGAATCAAAAATAGCAGAGGTAGAAGGGTGTGTGTGTGTGTGTGTGTGTGTGTGTTTGTCTGACAAAACACCCATACCATGCCTAGTAGGTCTGTGTAGGTCATTTGTAAATTAGAACACGTGCTAAGCAACTGGCCATTAAGTGAGGACCACTTACATTTGATTTCCCAGTCACATGGCCACCTGCCCGGGCCTCACCTAGCCCTCTCTAGGGCACCCCAGGCCTTGGAAAATGGCAAAAAGCACTTGCTAAGCAACTGGCCATTAAGCGATGACCTGGCCATTAAGCAGGGACCACTTACATTTCATTTACCAGTCAC